GTTAATTAAATTAACTAACACACACACACACACACACACACACACACACACACACACACACACGTTTTTAATTCATGGGGCGGGGTCGCACTCAGAGGCTTGCTGTATGAAAAGAGTCGCCAGTACAAAAAGTTTGAGAACCACTGGATTAGATGATCACAATGTTCCCTCTGGCCTTGGAACCTACAAATCTATGAACTTCCTTCTTCCTGCTGCCCTTAGCCTCAATGCAGCCTTCAATATTGTGTATCATCACCCACTCTTCCTGGACTATCATGCTTCTCTCTCTCCACTCTCCCCTCCGCATAAAGACGCTTCTTCTGTGGAACCCACAGGGATCACACTTCTTGAGCCTCTGTCCTTTTCCATTTTCCCTCTTTTGACCATCTCTTTCTCACAGTCTCTGCCTTCAAAACCCAGCTACCACTTACACACGGATAGTCCTCACTTGAATCTGCCTTTTGTTTATCATATTCTCTTTGCATCTTCTGTTTCTCCACCATGCATGTATTTAAACCACTCAATTTTTCCTCCTAGTCATTCCTCAAAACTGACTAACATCCTATATTTCAATTTTTAAATGGATGGTTAAATTACAAGCTGTATGGATAGGCAAAAACTAATAATTAGCTCTCCCGTCATGCTTGCTATACATAGATCTCATAGCACTTTACAAACGAGGGTGAGTATTATCATCAGCGTTTTACACAAGAGGTAGCTGAGGCACAGAGAGAGATAAAGCGACTTGCCCAAGGTCATACACTGTAAGTAGGGTGACCAGATAGCAAGTGTGAAAAAAAAGGACAGGTGGTGGGGGGTAATAGGCGCCCATATAAGAAAAAGTCCCAAAAAACGGGGTTGTCCCTTTAAAACGGGACATATGGTCACCCTAACTGTAAGTCACTGCAGAGGCCTGGTCTCCTTACTCATCAATAGTCCAGCGCACCTGACTGCTTTCCATAGGTAAAAATTTTGTATATCACGATTAGGCAAAGTGTTACACAGATAACTATGTAAGCAATAACTATTGCAGAGCTTTGTTATTTGTAGAACTACCATTTTACAGGCAAGTTTTGGTACGTGCATACCGTTTTGGTATGGATACAGTTGCTCTTCCCTGAATCCTCTTCATTGTTTAAAAACTTTCCAGATTCTCTCTAGGGTCCCAATCCAGAGTGGTGCTGAACAGCTTTTACATGGAGTTGTGACTACTCAGCCCCTTCCGGGATTGCTCTCTCCCTCCCTTCTGCATTACAAAGATATATTGAATTTTCTCTCTTCCTCTCAGCCCATCTCTAGCTCATACTCTAGTTATTCAGACTTTTGTCTCTGTGTTGTTAATTCATCTCTAGATTTATTTTTTGCTGTATGTGGGAGCATCTGCCATTTCTGCCCTCCCCCCAACACAAGCATCTCCTGTTGTGTTCTCCCTTCCTCTCATTCCTCTCTACCTCCCATTTCCTATGTATTTACTCTTTACTGTATGTTCCCCTACTCTTCCAATCAAAACCCTGCTTCTTCATGCCCGGGGGATATTACTGCCTTCATTGATCTGCCCTTTGTTTTCCCGGTCATTAATAACTT